CGGGGTGGAGGGCATGAAGAGGAAGAGGAGGAGGAAGAGGAGAAGGAGGAGGAGGAGGAGGAGGATCATCACGTGGTTGGGGGCGGTTCGTTCACGCTATGGCCTGGAGTCCTGCTGTATGGGCTGGCCAGCCCTGGCCGACAGTCTCTCTGGTGGGCTTCTGCACGCGGACGGAATGCAAAAGGGTGCCTTAGGGTGCTTGCTCCTGCAAAACAGATTCCCCTAGGCCCGATTTCCTGGGTGAGCCTGGGACGACGACGACGACGACGACGACGACGACGACGACGACGACGACGACGACGACGACGGCGGCGGCGGCGGCGGCGGCGGCGACGACGACGACGACGACGAGGGGGCCTCCCAGATAGGGCTGGAGCCGATGGGGTCGGCGGCTGTTCCTCGTTGTCGACCTCGGGTGGCCCTCGGCGGGCCCCGGGACTGTCGAAAACTGCTCGGGATGAGAAGTGGGCCCTGGGGATCGGGCCGGGCCTTCCGGGTACCGCGCACTGGAAACATCGAGACATCGGATGTCACAGGATGTGGCACGGGGTCGGAGGGTCGCGCCGAACCGCCGATGCATCGTCGATTCGGCTGGACGTGGAGCCCGATGTTCTCCACGCCGAGGTGACTGATGCATCGCCGACGTCGCCGATGCATCGCCGGTACATCGGTCCTGCATCGACGATGCGGCGCGATCCTCCGACGCCATCCCAGGAGGCGTCAGTCCCTGGAGGATTATTTCTCCAATGAAGGCGGCGGTTATATCCATGGCCAATTCGTGATTGGAGCTCCACCGGCTTCCAGATCCCAGATTCTCTACCCAATGATTATTTGCCCGATACCCTCAAATTCAATTTTCCTCTACATCACCCCTCCCCTAACCTCCTCACCACACCCTCTGCATGGTCTGAAACGGGGGGGGCGAGCAATCCAATGCCCTCCACCTCTACATCACCCCTCCCCTAGGTTCAGCCGCGCGCAGAGGGGGGTAGGGGGATGGAGGAAGGCTTCTTAAAGCACCCCTGCCTCTTAGAATGCGCGGGCCATATATATATATATATATATATATATATATATACATATATACATATACATATACATATACATATACATATGCATATACATATACATATACATATACCTATGCATATACATATACATGTACATATACATATACATCTACATATACATATACATATACATATACATATAGGGCCAGCGCCTTCGAAGAAGCAGCCCCCTGTTTCTAAGAAGCCCCCCCTCCACCATCCCCTCTTGTGCGCGCCGCCACAAAGTGTAGGCTTCGGAAGCCCTGCCACCCATCGTACTCCGACCCCATCTGGGAGGCCTCTGCTCACCGCCTCCTGGCGGGCTGTGGGGGCACGGGCGGAGCGAGGGACGCGGCCTTCCGAGCAGGCGGGGGCCCTCCTCAGGACCGGGCCGGCCCCTCGGGGAGCCGCCTGGCGCTGCGAGACACCAGTCTCTAAGGCCGAGGAAGTGCGCGACCGCGCGCGGGCCCTGTGTAGTGACAAGTCACCACCCACCAAACCACCCCAACCCAACCCGAAGGCTCAGATTTACCCTCGATTTCCAGTGGGGGGGGTGTCGGGAAACATCGAAAAAACACATGTGGAACCCTTACCCCCCCCCAACCCGAAATTCGGGTCTTCGGGTTGGGTTGGGGTGGTCTGGTAGGTAGTCAACAAGAGAAGCCGAGCCTGGTGTCTCTTGGCGCGACCGCGCCTGTGCCACGCTTGAACGAAGGATTGGAAAAAACCAGGATTGGAAAACAAAAAAAACAGGATTGATTTTTTTTCCAATCCAGGTTTTTTTTTACAATCCTTGTTTTTTTTTTTTCCAATTCTTCGGTTTTTTCCAATCCTTCGTTCCTTCGTGGCGTGGTGCGTGCTCAGAGCGTGGCCCGCCCCGCAGGCGGCTCACCTGGGCTCAGGCCTTCTCTCCTGGGCCGGACGCCTCTCCTCCTCCGCCTCCTCCTCCGCCTCCTCCTCCGCCTCCTCCTCCTCCTCCGCCTCCTCCTCCTCCTCCGGCTCCTCCTCCTTCTCCTCCTCCTCCTCCGCCTCCTCCGCCTCCTCCTCCTCCTCCGCCTCCTCCTCCTCCTCCTCCTCCTCCTCCGCCTCCTCCTCCTCCTCCTCCTGCTCCGCCGCCTCCTCCTCCTTCTCCTCCTTCCTCCCCTCCCCTGCCCCCCGCGGCCAGGAGAGCACGCCCTGCGACGGCGGCCACGGGGGCGATCCCTGGCTCCAGCGGGGCGTCGGAGGGCAGCCCAGCAGGAGCTCGAAGACACCAAGACGATCGTCGTCGTCATCGACGTCGTCGTCGTCGTCGCCGTCGCCGTCGCCGTCGCCGTCGCCGTCGCTCTCCTCCTCGTCGTCGCCGTCGTCGTCGAGGGGGGGGCGGGGAGGAGGAGGAGGAGGAGGAGGAGGAGGAGGACAGACGCTGCCATCTGAGTAGATCTATTTTTGCCGAGCATCAAAAGTGAAAGGAGGAGCAGCAGGAGGAGGAGGATGCAGAAGGGAGGAGGGGGGAGGAGGGAGGAGGAAGGCGGCAGTAGGAGGAGGAGGATGAGGAGGGAGGAGGGGGGAGGAGAAGGGAGGAGAAGGGAGGTGGGAGGCGGGAGGAGGGAGGAAGGAGGAAGAAAGAGGAGGGAAGAGAAGGAGGAGGAGGAGGAGGAGGAGGAGGAGGAGAAGGAGCAGCAGCAGGAGCAGGAGCAGGAGCAGGAGGTGACAGTGTAAACCCAGGATGCATCAGAGAGGCTGCAATTCGCCCTCCAGTCCCGTATACCCTCTTCTCGGGAGAGAAAAAAAGCACACAGACATAAATAATCGTCGATTCCCAGGAACACGTAGAACATAGAACATATCAGAAGTGGAGGGGAAGCCGAACATCCAGAAAATACAAAAAAAATGGAATCATGGGATTTGCGTCTATGTATTTCATCGCTTCGCTCATTACGCCGGCCCGTATTGTGCCATCGCAAACGTTTGCTTGCGCGTTCGTAGCCTATTTGGAGGCTTCGTGGGGCCTCCTGGGGGCCTCCTGGGCTCTCTTGGGGGCTTCTTGGGGCCTCCTGGGGCCCTCTTGAAGCGGAAGGCTCGAATTGGCGGTTCGTGTTCCCCCTCTCGGGCCCCTCTTGGGGCCGTCTCGGGGCCCTCTTGGGCGATCTTGGGCGCCTCTGGGGCCGTTTGGGGACCTTCTTGGACCGTCTTGGGGCCCTCTTGGTAGCCTCTCGGGCCGTCTTGGTGCGGTCTTGGGGGCATCTGGGGTCTTCTTGGAGCGTCGGAAGCCCGAAAACGCGGGAATGCGGAAAACGTTAAAAAAACATAAACACAAACAATGATATTTGCTGATTTGGGCCCTCTTTAGGGGTCCTCTTGGAGCGCTCCTGGGTCTTCTTTGGGGCCTCTTGGGCCGTCTGGGGGCCATCTTGGGCGTCCTGGAGCGATCCTGTCGCCTCCTGGAGGACTCCGGGACCATCTGGAGGGCCTCTTGGGAGCCCCTGGGCCGCTCCTGGGGCACCCGGGAGGCCCCGAAGGCGGCGCCCAGGAGCAGAGCCAGGAGGAGGAGGAGGAGGAGGAGGAGGAGGGAGAGGAGGAGAAGGAAGGGACGGGGGGGGACGCGGTGGCCCATCCATAGAAATCTGTTTGTGTTTCGGTGTGCGCCCTGCGCGGCGAGGCTTCGCGAGGCGAGGCTGCGCGTGCGGGCGACGGCGTGCCACCCCAGGCCAGGACCGATGTCGGACAAGTCATCACGGCGGGGGCGTTCGTTAAGGAACGTGCCCAGGAGGCTTTACACCCTGCAGGATTCCTTATCTGTCGCCGCGCCGTTTGTTCCGACGCGCGGCCGCACGTCTTGGGGAGGCAGATTCGTGCCCTTGGGCGCGTAGTGCAGGGCTTGCCGTGGGTTTGCCGTGGTGTCGGCGTCTTCCACTTGGTAGCGTCGAGAACAACCGGCGTGGATGAGGCCGGCGGTGATATCCATGGCCAAGCCTCAGCGGGTGTCCCGCCAACATCCAGGCCCCAGACTTTTTAATCTGAGGGTTCTTTATCCAATGCACTCACCATATTTGCCTCGAACCTCGCGGGGACCTTGCCCAAGTGTTGGACTGTAGATACAACAGAAGGTTTTGCTCGTGCGCGCAGCCGCTTCCTTTCTGGATGGGCGGGCGGGGCCACAGCTCGCCAGCCCGGCCTGCGGCTCGGGCCAGGCATGCTGAGGAATGCTGGGTAGCGGCAGGGCCAAGACCCCCTTCCAGTGCGGGCGGCGACCAGAGGGGTCGCGCGGCCCGCTGCGGCCGCCAGATGCGGCCCATCCACACGCTCGAGTGCAGCGTGGCGACGGCCATTTTCGCGATGCTGACGTGGCTGGACGCGTTCGTGGGCGTGGGCCTGTACGCCAGTTTCTTTGCGACGGCCACAGTCATGGGGCCCGAGTACAACAATGCTCGGGCGGGCCTGGGTAGAAGCGATTCGGGCGAGAAAGAGGAGCGCGCGGGGCGGCCCAGCAGAGAAGGCCAGCCCAGCTGCTCAAGCGAGAGCAGTGCGACGCCGCTAGCCATCGAGGAGCTGACGGCGCAGCCCGGGCCACCATCGGCGGCAGCGACCCTCTCCTGGGGCCCCCGGCCACGGATCCGCACGCAGCCAGCCGTTCCGGGCGGGCGCCCCCATACGCCTGGCGACTACTACCACCAGGGCTATTACTACGCGGGCGCAAGCCCAGCGGCGGCGCCCGCGCCGCCAACTCCCAGCGGGGAGGCCAACGCCACCAGGGCGGACCCGCCGCCCACGGCGAGGCCCCCTCCCCCTCCCCCCTCTCCAACAAAAGCGCTTGGAGAAAGGAATTAGCCCAGCGAGGAGGAGGAGGAGGAGGAGGAGGAGAGGAGAGGAGAGGAGAAACGCGTGGACCGTCATTTCAAAACGAGGACCCAACACCACAGGATGGTTAGGAAAAAAATCCCCCTGGAAGGACGATCCACGACGGCGGCCGCGGCGCGGACGAGCAAGACCTCTTGTCGCCGACGTCGCCGCCCACGGCCAGGCCCTCCGCGCCGAAGAAGTGCATCAGGCTTCAGCGCCCCGAGGCTCCACAACGGCTCGCACGTTGGTTCGCCTCGGGTGCGAGATGGGCTCGACTCCGCAGGTTTTTTTGACGTTTTGGTACAGCGGGCCCCATGCCAGCGAACACCGTGCTGGCCTCCAGGGTGCCCTAGGTTTCTTTGGTTTCGACGGTTTCTTGCCATGGAGAGCGCGACGTTCCCGCACCAAGAATCGATGGGCGCCCCCGGGTCTCAAAGTTGGGTTTCTCGTGGAACTTTTCTTGTGGACTGGCCCCCACTACGTCTTCGGCGGTGTTCCGGTTTCGGGATACGTTCCAGCGGCTGGGCCTCGCCGAAGGCGTTCTGGGGATGCCCGGATCGCCCCGAACGGACGCCGGAGAGCCAGGGTATGACCCAAACACCACCAGGCATCCGAGACGGGGTAGGTTTTCTCAGAAAGTCCTCGCGCTGTTTGAGAGGTTGTCCAGGCCTTCGCCGAAGCCGCACCCGGTTTCTCAGAAGGCGCGAGGCTTCCTGAGGAGCCTTGCCGTCTTGGGCGAAGGCCCGCCCCCGTTCACTTCCCCCTCTGGGCCCGCCGCCGACGTCAGGGTTCCAGGCCTCCCACATGGGGCCCGACCAGACCCACACGTCCAACGTGTCGAGCAGGCAGGACGACGGTGTTTCACCGCAGCTGGCTTCCAGGGGCCCTCGGCGCGGCCCCGTGGGCCGTCAACACCACGGGCGCCCACGCCCCGTTTCGAAGAGGCGAAGGCGGAGGAAGTGGAAGAGAACACCTTAGGCGATGCTTAAGAAAACTTAAGTTTTCGGCCAGAGTCTCGATTATTTTTAACGTTTCGATGTAAATCTTTCGATGTTAATAGAAATGTTCGGCTTTTATTCAACTTCTGAGACTATGAATTTCTTAACCCATGATTTCTTAAGCACTTCGCAGGGTGAAGGGCAGGATGATGAGGTGGACGCGGGGGAGTGAGATGAAGCCAGAGAGGACGACGACAAACGGGAGGAACAAGAAGTTGCCCGCAGGTTTCTGGAGGTCTCCGAAGCCTCGCGGGGGTCCAACAGGCCCAAACCGTCCGAAGATCCCTTGTGTTTCCGCTCCACCTCCTCGAGTGGCAACGACGACGAGTTGAGGGGGTTAGAGGAAGATTCACAATAAGGTTTGCCAGCCTGGACCCCAAACAATGAGATATTGCGCTCTTGACATATCAGATGTGCGTATGCGACGCGCACAGATTCGGCGTTCCAGGAAGGGCTTTGCCTTCGAAAATGAAAGGAGATGGTATCGCTTCCGCCGCGGAAGGCGGCGAAAGGGCAGCGGAGGGTCGGCGGAGGTATAACGAGGCCGCTTCCGCTGGCGGAAGGCCGGCGGAAGGTGGCGGATGTAAAAATGCGTCCCCTAAGAGATGACAGCATTTCTGGGTCCAGGGTTTCCCAAGTCCGCCATATAGGTCTTCTTTCCCAAGTAGAAGCAACAGCCAGCTGACGAGTGTGCCGAAATTCGGTTTCTGCTCTTCCCCCCCCAATGCCCATCTTGGGGGGAGCCAAGGTGATTCTCGAGGGGGCGGCCAACTCTCTCGATGCTTCGTCTTCGGCCGCCCTCCTCACTTGGGCCAATCACGTTCCCTGCCCAGACTGCTCGCACGTGGTCAATTGCGATTGCCCCTCGTGCCCCGCCGTGACGTGCGGCGACCAGATCAAGCAAGAGGCTGGCGAGCCCTCCCTGTGGTCGGTTGGGTGGTGTCTACTCATGGTGAGCATCGGCTTCGTCCTGGGGCGCTTGCCCTCGCAGGGGCCCACGGCGCCCTCCACCTGCCGCGCGCCCGTCGGGCGACGGTGGCGGAGGCGCTCCAGGCGGAGCCGAACGCGGAGCAAGCCCGACAGCAGCCGGAGGCCATCGCGCTCAAGCGCCGAGGCCTCGGGGATTCCCCTAGCTTGTGATGCCCGCCGCGGTCGGCGGCCCCGGGGTCTACATCATACTGACCCCGGACGATGATGACTACGACGAGGACGCCGCGGTCGCGGCGGACATCATCGAGGCGGCTCGCTTGCCGCAAGGCATGCAGGAGGGGGGGGCCGCCGTTGATCGGCGGCGCGGCGGCTCCTGCGCCTGCGCATCGTTCTCGCGCCCTGCCCCTGCCGGTGCGGCTTATCGCCGCTAGAGCGGCCGGAGCCGCCCGCTTGGTCTACGCGCTGCCAGCCGGACCCTTCCAGCTGAACACGATCGGGCGCCCACTCTCAGTCGGCGAGGGCACTCCTGTGGCTGCTGGCGGTCTCGACGAGGGCGTGGTCTGCTGCAACATCCCAAGGGCGGTCCTCTGGCACGAGAGGGTGGTGGTCTTCACTCCTGGCCCACCGCCTGCCGCAGCCAATCCGCCGGCTGGAGGAGGCCTCGCCGCCTTGACTGCCGCCCTCGGAGGGCCTGCCGCTGCTGGCGCGCCCGCAGGGGCCTTGGTGCCGCCCGCCGCGGCCGCCCCTGGCGGCGCAGCCGCGGCAGCAGCCTTGCTGCCTGGGGCTGCCGCTGGTGCTGCCGCCGCGGGTCCCGCCTGAGGAAGCGGAGCCGCCGCGGCTGCCGCCGGGCCCGCCGTTGGAGGTGCTCCTTTCGTCGCCGGACCAGTGGGGGGTCTCCACGCCGGCGCCGCGGGAGGACCCGCAGGTGGGAGGGCAGCGGCGGCCGCCACGTTCGACCTGAGGGTGCAGCCCGTCGGGATCGACACTCAGGGAGTCCGCCACCAGGACTCCGCCACTGTCACACCCTTCGCGGACTGGCCAGCGCGTGGACCTCGCACCCGCCTATGGGCGAGTAAGTTCATCGTCGCGAACGGGGGGGCGCCGGTCGCCAGGCAATACCGCGGGAAGGCGGAGGTTCGCCTGACAGGCTCTGAGCCCGGAATGGAGGAGCACCTCCGCGTGCGCATGGCCTTAGAGACGGCCGCCTGCTACGATCAGTTGAAGATCACAGAAGTGGCGTCTTTCGAGATGCTCGGGCGGTCTCTCCAAGTGCAGGAAGAACGGCACAGAGACCGCATCATCGGGGCCGAGGATAAGGTCGACTCTCATATCTTCCTGGGCCCAGACCTCGTTAGGGGCAACGTTTGCGTGGCCCCCGATCTCCAGGACTGGATCGCGCAGGAGCTCGCCAAGGAGGTCTCGGTGATGAAAGAGAGACGCAAGGCCCATGAAGAGCGCAGTGCGAACCGCCAGAAGGGCCAGAAGAAGAACGGCAAGGATGGGAAGGATGAGTAGGGGTGAACCCCCCGTCGGCGCCAGCGCGAGGGTTGAGCCATTTCCGACCGATGCGTCACGGTCGGGCATGATACTTGATGGCGCTGCCTCTGTTCGTGCCAGAGACATATTTCCTCTTCCCTTGCTCCCCTCCTCCTCCAGGACCGTCCGCGATGCCACCCTCGTGAGTAGGAGCGCTCTCCGACGCCATCGCGGGGCTCAGCATTCGGTGGGTTGGGCCAATGACGCTATTTCTTGCCTCAACAGTGCGCGCGGCTTCGGGCCGGCCTCTCGCAGTGCGAACCCTATTTCTTGCCTGAGGAGCGCCCTCGACCGCTTGGGCAAGCAGTTATGCGAGGTCGGCCCCCAGCCCGCGGACCTCCTTTTCTGGCGCGGGAGCCCTCAGCGAGCTCTGCGCCGCTCGTGGTTTGCACGACCCTGCAGGAAGCACTCGGCGACCGTTTTCCCGGGGCCTTGTCCCCTGGCCAGGCGAGGGCACCCGCCCAGTTCCACGGAGTGAGCTCCTCAGCCCTGGCGATTCTGAATGGATCGGCCGCGCCCAGGTGAACTGGCTTAGGCCCTCTGATGAGGCTCGGAGTTTGGTTCGAGAAGCTTGTCCGATGGGGCCGCGCGTGGATCCGCTTTCAAGCTCGCCCCCCGATCGATATGTAGCCTTCGTTCGTAGGTTGGTCGACCGGGGGGCGGCCGCCGCGAAGCTTGCAGCGGGCCGCCCCAGCAAGGTTGGCATTTTCTTCGCCGCGAAAAACGCTGGGTCAGCTCAGGTTTATGTTCGACACCCGCGCTGCAAACTGTCTATACATGTGTAATAAGATTTGTAATAACAATAATAAATAAATAATGATAATAATAATGATAAAAATAATAATAATAGCATATAGAATAACAATACGGTGATACATGTCGCCTTCTTTCTCATCCTCCTCGTCGTCGTCCTCCTCCTCATCATCATCCTCATCGTCGTCGTCGTCGTCCTCCTTCTCCTCCTCCTCATCCTCCCCCTTTTCCTCCCCTCCTCCTCCTCCTCCTCCTCTTCCTCCTCCTCCTCGTCATCATCATCCTCCTCCTCCTCATCATCATCCTCCCCCTCTCCCTCCCCACCCTCTCCTTTCAACCTGTCTCCTCCCCACATGTTCATACACAAACCAAATCTTCGACAGTGCAAAGCACTTCCACGGCGCTACTCTGGAGGGGCATCCAAAAAAGGATGCCCCTCTGTGGCGGACGCGGGCCCAGGAGGGAACCCAAAAAACGGGTTACCATCACTGTGCCCGAACACAAGGCCACATGGTCGGACGCCTGTTACGCAAGGACACCAGCAACGCCTCAGCATCAGAAATGATATCACACAACAAACCAAAACTTCGACATTCCAAAGCGCTTCCACGGCGCTTCTCTGGAGGGCACCCGAAAAACGGGTGCCCCTCCGTGGCGGACGCAGACCCAGGAGGGAACCCAAAAAACGGGTTCCCATCACTGCGCTCGAACACAAGGCCACATGGCCGCACGCTTGTTACGCAACGACACCAGCAACGCCTCAGCATCAGTGATGACACCACACCACAAACCAAGTCTTCGACACTGCAAAGCGCTTCCACGGCGCTACTTTGGAGGGGCATCCAAAAACGGATGCCCCTCTGTGGCGGACGCGGACCCAGGAGGGAACCCAAAAAAACGGGTTACCATCACTGTGCCCGAACACAAGGCCACATGGTCGGACGCCTGTTACGCAAGGACACCA